CCTTTTGTTGTTATGATTATCTTTGAAATAAACAAACCATTAAATTAGGGAAAATGTTTTCCAGAATGGTTTTCGCGGATACAAAAATGCATTGACTGTGGCGAAGAATACTTTGAAAAATTGTAAAAAAAATGTCTTTTGTACATAAATTGTTTTTATGCTAAACGAAGAGGGAATCTTGTTGTTTCCTTCTTTTCTTAGTGACAAACTTCACAAAATTTCGTATTTAATTGTTGAAATTCGTTCTTAATACTTCCTATGTTTTGAAACATCGAAGGTTTTAATTTAAGAAAATTAAAAGGCAATTCAAATAAAACTGCTCTGCAACATTAATATACCTACATAGTTTATCCAGAAAAATTCCACTATCTTTCTGAATTTTATTGAAATATCTTAAAAACCCATTATATTTCGTCATTCTTCAGGAGTGGTATAAACTATTTGCCAAACATTTATTTCGGAAGGCACTATCTGAAAAATCTAACACCAATTTTAGCCAAAACGCATATGATACCTAATAACAGATTTAACTCCAAAGTCATTTTTAACTATTTACGCCAAAGCCTAAAACCAAAGCTATAAATTTTGTAAAAAGGTACAAAAAAAATCTGAGACAAATATAATTCAACTTGAAAACACATTTCTCGGCTCAACAAGTTTCATATGTAGCCACTTAGAGCATTAACAAGTTAAAAGGAATGTTTCATAATTTGTAAGTGTAAGGGACAAAAAACCCACACACGCCGAGCTTGTAAAAGATACCGAACAAATCCCTGGAGCTTACGCCCCTTATCTGTTTTCTATCAGTTCGCATATACACGAATTGCCACACATAGGTATAATAGTTCATAACCTTTAAGTACAGGGTGTTTGGCAAATGTTCTGGATTTTCTCGATACCTAATACCTATTAGGCTATTACTGAAGTATACCTAAATATAATTTGGAGGATAAAAATTATATAATTGGAAAGTATTTTTACTAGCTTTCCAATGATGCAAAAGGGGGCGTCCATTAATTACGTGAGGTATTCAAGAGGGGGAAGTGTTCAAGAGGGAATCAAGCTAAATCTTTCCAAATCTCACTTGGGGGAGAGGGGAGGGGGCCTTTGTAAATCGGACGTAATTTTTTTTAGTAGAAAACGGTGTAAAATTGCGTGGAAGTAAAGTTAAATTAAAGTAAAGAATGTTTCTAGAAATTTTACATTACGGCAATATTCTCAAATACTAGTCTTTGCTAGTCTTAAATAAAAGTAATAGAACATATCGCGCCTTTGCTTCAAAAGTGACACAACTCGAAATTCTCAAAATTCACAACCCTACGATCAACAAAATTGTTTAAACTTGACTTAGAAAAGAGTCATCTAGATGGCGCCTCTGTAATTTTTGAGGTAAAGTTGTTTTTAATCATCGCATTCAGAATATTAACTCAAAAGATGTTAATTTTGAGTTGATACACTTTTGAAGCAAGGGTGCGATATTGTGTTTTTGTTTTTTTTTTAATAATCAAATGCATTTACACCCAAAACACAAATTTTGAAAAATCTCAAGTGAGATTAGGGGAGGGGGGAGGGAGTTGAGAAAAATCTTACGAAGTCTCACCAGGATAGTGCGTTGCTGTTTTTTTATTTTTGTATATTTGTCTAATTCTTTATAACCTAAACAATTTATCTTACCATTTTCTTTACCTTAACTGTGATTACTTCTATTTTTTATCAAATCTGATCTTAAAAGTTACTCTTTGCTCTACTTCACTTAAGCCTTAATACAGTCATTTTAAATTAACCGGGGATAAAGTGGATTTCACTTAGCTCATCAACCGGCAGATTTACTTTTACTTAGTTTATATCATTGTCAAGAGCCTAGGCATTTACATTTTGCGATAGGCACAACGTACGATCAATCATTTTTATACACCGAGACATGAAGAAGTTCCTAAATAATTTCATAATGGTAGTTTGTGTAACAAGATGGATATAATGGCCATATCGCACGAGGACGAAATTTGAATACGATGCCGTAGGCGGAGTTCTTAATCGTCTGAGTGCGATATGGACAATCCACTCGAGTTAAACAGCATATTTTTTCTACGACCCACTCACGAAACAAATTTTAAAAATTATTTTAGATTATTAAGATAAAATACCCAATTTAAAAATATTTTATGACTTTTACTAATTTATAAAATACAATAAACAAGAAAAAAAATTATTTTAATTTGTCGCTATTCCGAGAATCGAACTCGGGCCTTCCGCATGGAAAACAAGCGCTTCGACCTCATCACCATCTATGCGCTTAATATTTTTGCATTAATACTCGTACCTAATTAAAGTGACTTCATATTGATTTACTTAAATTAATAAATTATTTATAATTATAGACGAAATAAAAATAGAAATGTTAGCTTTTATCGATTTTACACAAGAATAACTTATTATCTCAATAACTATAAAATATACTGATATAATTAGTTTGATAGAATTGTTACTTTAAAAATAATAGCAGTCGGTTGATCAAAATATGAACTGTAATTGGTGGATTTCATTTTTTGGCAGAATTCTTACTACTTAGAATGGATATGAAATATATTCGTTCAGTTGACCGCAATAGCATTCTTTTGAGATTTGTAGTCAGTGCGTAGATAATCTAATATCCATGTGGGCGTAGAAAAAATATATTTCATATTTCTATGCTAATGTAATTTTTTTAAGTAACAATGATTTGACAATATATCGCATTATTTGACAAGTTAATAAACATTCAAAAAATCATGAAATGTATACCAAATATACGAGTTAAACTTTCTAGATAAAATTCATGAATATTTTAAATAGAATCTTTAAATGAAAAAAAAAAAAGACAATTATTTGTTTAGTCTTATACCAAACATCCGTAAAAATTATCTTATAGGAAGTAAGATATAAACGATGACTTTCTATCGTTCTTTTTTTGGGAGCTGCAGCCTCTTTTAATTTTTGGTTAATTAGGTTTCATTTATTGTTTTAACAATTTTTTTGTGAACAAAATTGAATACATCAATAGATTCGGAAGCTTCAAAAAGAACTTATCAAATTTTATTAAAACAATTTTATATTTACCTATTTTATGTTTTAGTGGCAAAAATGTATACAAAAATTAGAAACTAAATATCAAGAATGTATTGGAGGTGGCTTCAAATGAGTCACACTGTATTTATAACTATGGTATACCAGGCGATTCCTTAGAAATGAACACCAATAACCTCGTTAATGGTTCTGGAGTCCAACCGGTTAACCCCAGAACCACTCTCGAGCTTTCCAATCTACTTGTCATTGTCCTGTGTCAGTCTGTTTATGTCTTATGACTACTGTCAAATTTCAAAATAGGTACGCTTGTCATCTGTTACAGACGATGTTTTATATAATTTATAGAATATAAAGCAGGCTTATTATTGTTATACCTAATCGAGGAATTTACTTAGGTTCGGTACCTTTACAACCTCAATTTATTGTATTTTTTGTATTAATTCACAAACCAAATGTATCTTGTCATTGATCCCATGTGGAAGGTATCTTGTAAGTTTTTAACATCAATTAATATTTTAATTGATAATTTATAAGGCTTTTTAAGAAGGCTTTGTAAGCCGAAAGCGCACAGGCAACTTTTTAATAAAAATTTTAAATTTTTACACACTGAAGTATTAATTTCACTTTCATAACTTTAATATGGGCTAATTTAATTTTTAAAAAAGCAGAGGTGAATGTCTTATGACGTTTTTTCCAATTTTAATATTAAAAAAATCCCATATGGATCCAACTTTATGGAACACACTGTATAGGCATACAATATATTCACAACACAGATCATACTGTTACGGCAAATATGTTCATTTTTAAATATTTAATAAATTAAGATGAAAATATTAAAATTACTGTCTTTTAATTATACCTTTTTACTTTCCTATCTGTATACAGATATAAGGAAAGTATAGGAATCATGATTTTTTTCGACCTCGAGTTTTCGACGGATTTTTACGTTTTGAGGTCCCCTGAATCCGTTTTGACTATTTCCGCGATGATGTCTGTGTGTGTGTGTGTGTGTTTGTATAACGCATAACTCATGAACCGATACACAGAAAAACACCAAATTTTAAACTTAAGCTTTGTTTCAGCGTCCAATGAGCTGATCAGATTTTGGGCAGAGTCGGAACATCTGGGGGGGTACTTTATAGGTGGTCATTTTTATATTTTATGGAATATATCTGTTATTTACGTTTGGAGAAGAAAATTGTTCAAATAAAAGTTACTTCTAATATTATTATCTATAATTTTTGTTTTATGTAAAAATTTCCTGAAATGGTCCGTATTCGAGAAATTTGACAAAATATGCAAAATTCTGATTTTTATGTAAGTTTTTGAAAGTTGTTTGCGATATCCATCTCTATAATTTTTGTTCATACATGATTTTTCTAAAATGGACCGTAATGAAAAAATTGTAGGAAATTTAAATTTTTCAGTATTTTCGTTTTCCATGAATATCTATAGAAAAATGTTTAGAGGTAGATGTATGTGGACAATGTATATATTTAGTTTATCCTCTAAACATTTATAGAGATGCTGCAATAGGTTGTACAAAATAACCGGAAAAAGCCTATAATAACTAGATAGGAAAGTCATGTGTTGGACACATCAGATTTTTGTTATCAATAACTTGAAACCCCCTCTATTGTAATTAATTATACATATACCAAAAATTTTACTCCTTGAAATGTATAACTTGATGTTTTAGATACCTAAAATTAGAGTCCAAATACCTATATTCATCAATAATTATAATTAACAAAGTTCTGTTTCTGAGAATAATCATTCAACTGAGAAGAAACGTTAGAACATTTCAAAAATTTGAAAAACTTTAAAAAATTTAAAAAAATACTATATTATTTGAATGCTTGAGAAAAATAAATTAATTTACAATCAAATGTTTAAATAAGCAATAAAAAATAAAAATTTACATGTTTACTTACTTGCCGATAACGAAGCTGCTGCAGATATTGGTCGATTTCTTTGCGACGATGAATTAAGGCCGTATTGGTCCGCAGTATACGCCGGCCATTCTCCATAGATGGCGTTGGGTAAATACGCCGCGGTGCGGTGATGATTATGATTGTTTGTAAACGTGGTTGGTAATCTATTAAAGGCTGGTAAACTAACCGGCGATGAAGAACTTACTTTCGGGTAATCTTCGGCTAATGATATGGGTCCTGATGTATTGACACCTGAAAAATTTGTAGATAATCATGTTCGTAAACATTTTCAATCTATATTTTATGCGGCAATGGTTTTATAGAGTCAATGAATAATTTTTGAAACGTTTATTGGGAATTTTTACTGATACCTAATCTTAATCATATATTAATTTAGTTACGAAATAAAACTCATCCCAAGTTATATCTTGTAACCATACGTATTTAGTTATCTAGGAACTTTTTCGATGATTTAATTTGTGTTGGTTCAACTCGCTGTCATTAGATCGTTGAAAAAAAAAATGTTACTGTTAATGTTTGCAATACATTTGAATATCACAGCATTTTTGCATAAAGAATAATAATAATAATAACAATAATAATAATAATAATGGTTATTTACAAAAAAAAAGCAAAAATACAAATTTATTCTTAAAGAGGATAGATGTAAATAAACAATGGTGATCCCGTAAAAACCAATGGTTGTGCACGAGTTGAACTTGTTTATTTGCAACTAATGAATGTTAGTAAGAAATACAATATAATATAATACCTCAATTAAAAATACCATATTTTGATCAAAGGACAATACTTAATTAGTATTGGTATTAGGTATATAGTATTCTAAAGATTGCGGATTCTAGAGAAAGTGGATACATAGTGGCAATATAGGGACGACATGAAAATAAATAAAAAGTATGCACCTATTTGGCATATGATTATTTTGAACAGGGGCGGTTTTTCCATTGGTCCCCTCCGAGGTGAAAATTCTTACGATTTATGAGCCTTTTCTTCACAAACATCAAGAAAAGGAAAGCGTATCATGTTTATAGTAGAGAAGAGAGCGAATGTTTCAAATGCTAACGTAATTTATAACGTTTTCAGATATTTACAATCAATGTGTAGAAAAGTTTATAAAAAATAAGAAAATCTGTCTTTTCAGATAGATCGGTGTAATTGCATATTTGAATGTAATTTTCAATTCTTAGCAACTTTTCTTAATGAAAATTTTCGATTTTGTCAAAAATAAACGTACACTCATATTTTTTGACAAATCTCGTATACAGCTTGAAAAATGTGATATCTGATGACTGTATTTTAAGTTTATTTCTTTTTGATAATAGTTTTTCTTCGCTTCTGCTATCAGTTTCTATATTTCTATATTTTACAAAAGTACTTTTTATTTCCATGAATGAAGAGACCTTTCAAATAAGGTATCACAAGCCCCTACTTCCTATTTACAAATTTGGGCCTTTCAACTGTCACTCGAAGAGGGTCGAAGGTAGGGATGAAATTTTCACTTTGCAGCATGTCATTTTATAATCTAAATTGTATTTTTTATAAATATGCACAGTAATTTATTCTATTTGGATGTTACACACTGTATATTGGAATTAATAATTATAGTAATACAGTAATTACTACTGTTTTGGATACCTAATTCTTAAGCAATAAATGACAATATAAATCGTTAATGAAGTTATTATGGCCTAAATCACCTTGAAAAGTAAAAATATTACACAGCTATTTCTTTCTAAACGATTTTTCACCGATACGTATATTTCAAATTGTTCACCATAATTACTGTTTTATGAAAATATATTTTTTGTTTGTATTATTATTGATAAAAAATTACCATTGCACTAACTCAATCATATAGGTTTATTTTGAGTTGATGTTTTTTATAATTTTGAATACCTAGGTAATATTACATTTGATCATAATGTTTGTTCTTATGTAATTCTGAATTTAAGTTCTTTTTTATAAATATAACTCATTTTAAAAGCTGCCTAATCAAAAATTAATGACTAGGGAACACAGAGATTATTTGATTAGAAAATTATCATAAATGTTTTTTTTTTGTAAAAATACAAGATTTCAGATAAAGAAGATTCATAGAAAGTAAGAATCAATTTTTAATTCTTATCCTTATAACTAATCATTATTGTAAATTAGATGAAGGCAGGAACGTATGTATATAGGTCCTTCTAAAGGTTGGGATTAATTTTTTGTATACAGTGAGCATCATAAGTCTTACCCCCTATCTAACTCGTTACTGGAGTCTTGTTAGGAAAATCGCCGAGACACGTCGATTTTTGATTTCTACAATGTACATTTTTGTATGAATAGTTTATCCTTAATTTCGTCCCTTACTGGAGGGGAGCAACCCTTTTGAAAAATCTATGGAGTGGTGAGTAATAGCTCATTTGAAAGGGGGTTTCATTCTCTATTCAACCGTGCAAAAAATTTTGAAATAAATAAATAAATAAATAAATAATTAAATAAAAATGGGGAAATTTTCTCATAACCGCTTTTGGGAAGAAAAGATGCAAAATAAAATTCAATATTCTTACATGCAATATGTCTTACCAGAACTAGTTGACAGCAAAGCTATTAGAGACATGGAAGTACGGGACACAATACTAAATGAATAGTGAAACATTTTGTTTAATTTTTATTAACATGACGCAAGGAATCTTAAATTATTTGGAATATGTTTATTAATTTAAGAGTTACACTTTATTTATTTCTAAAACATGGTAGTAAGCAATCTATTTAAAATATGATTAATGTCTTTTTATTATAATACGCTTTTTTAAATTTTAGATTTTACCAGTGGCAGTGGCAATAATATTTTGACTAGTGGACCACGTTTACAAATAATAATAATTTCACGATTCTGATTCGGAATAGTAGTTTTACTATACAGGGTTTTATGCCAAAGCCAAGCCTTGTATTGATATTGTAAAAAGCAGATGAGTAACTATCACATCAATAGAAATTGAAAATTCACACATGAATCTTTGTAACGTAATTATTTATAACTTTAATAACTTCATACGGTTAAAAATTTTAGCTAACTTATTTAATTCTAAATATAAATTAAATTTCATTTTAAAAGTTCATTATATTGTTTAGTTGTTGCAACTTTAATGCGCTTAAGTACCGTTCAGATTAAAATATGAATTGAGTCTTTCAGTTTGTAATGTAAATTTTCCTCTAAAGCTACAATGAATATGTAACCATAAAAATACTACATTGTATACTTTAATAAATGCATATCTTTAATAAAAGAAATTAACTCTAATAATTCATTATAGCTGAGTAAGGGAATTTTTAAGAGAAGTAAGACTTATCCACTCACTCTGGGTCGATATGTAGATAGAGAAAATAGTTATGTGGGGTTGAATGACATTCTCAGTTCCTCAGTTGATAGCTAAACCTTTCTTGGTTTTTATTTTTTAAGTTTATTTAATGAAAAGCATTTGACCAAAAACATTTTATGAGATCATAAATAATTGCGTTATAGAGAACAAATTTAAATGAAAAAATTCATTTTTATTATAACAACAAAGCAAAATATTGAAAAAACTAAGTCTGTAAGGTAATTTATTTTTTTTTTAAATATTTAAAATAAACTTTTGACTTCAAAGCTTAATTTTTTTGGAATAACAAGTTAACTCAAAAACACAAAATTTAGTCTAATATCTATATTTTGTAAATTTGTCCACGATTTTGTCTTCTTTAAAAAAATGTTTAGTGGTCTGATGAAAAAGGTCACCGATAATCATATCAAAAATTTAAGTAAATTCATCTGTCAATTTGCTTTTACTTATGGAATAATAGAAGTGCAACAAAAGTGAATATGGACAATCCAATCGAATTGCATAGTATATTTTTTCTACGAACCACCAACGAAAATCTACAAATTTTAAAAATTATTTTAGATTATTAAGATAAAATAACTTTTAATTAATTTCCAATCCAGATTTGAACCAGGGTCTCTCGCATGGCAGCCAAATGCCCTGGTCTCACACCTCCATCGATACCCTTATCATTTTAGTTTAATCTAATACTTGTAATTTAATTGATTTCATATAGTTTGATTAAAATTTATAATTTATTTGTAAATATAGGCGAAATAAAGATGGAAATGCTATTATTTATTGATTCTACACAAGAATAACCTATTTTTTGATATATTTAATCTCAATACCTAAAAATATACTGACAGTTAGTTTGACAGTTTGATAGTTTATTTAAAATTTTAAAAATAATAGAAGCCGGTTTACTAAAATATGAACTGTTACTGGTAGATTTAATTTTTTTGCACTAGATAGAATGGATATGAAATATATTCATTCAGTTGAACGCAATGTCGTTTTGTAGTCTGTGCATAGATAAGCTAATATCCATGTGGGTGTAGAAAACATTATTTTTTGGCACTATTTTGGTTTAGAAAATTATGAAAAATGCTCGTACACGTCAATTTTTAATCTAAATGGTACACCTTTTAAAGCAAAATCGGAACATACAAGGTGAATCATGCTTTTGCAGTAATATATCAGTGAGTTTTATTAAATGGATCGATATGGTATATATTTATTTTTATTTGATCATTTAATTTAAACACACATAGAAATACCAGCATATTTCACTTGAGATTTTACAGAAATTAGGCAGGCGTTTTACTACAGACTAGATTTTTGCAAAGAAAGTACTGGACCTTTTTAACATTTAATTCGCTTAAATAAGAAAACAGAAGATCTGTATAGAAAAATATCGATTATTTTGTATCTATTCATGTTACTTGTGTTTTGTATTTTCATTAAATCTGTTTAAAATTATTATCTTTAACATTTATGCTATTATAGCTTATATATATTAAATAATAGGTACAATGATTACTACAATAAATTGGCTGTTACATATTTTTTGAACTAGTCTACTTTGAAGATACACCTATCTGTATAGTGATTGAAATACCCTAGTAAGATGAGAATAATTATAATGTTGACAAAATGGAAGCTGGTTAACAGGAGACATTAGTTAACTGTGTGTAAATCGCGTGTGTCCTATCTTTAATCCTTGAATGACGATAATTATGTATTTTATGTTCACAGAAGGAATATTTAATGCTTTTATCTTATTGATGGATGGTTGGATTTCGTGTATTTCTATTTTCTCTGTTCCAGTAATCAACCCAATTATTGTTTAAAGTAGTTTAAAATATGTTTCCTTTGAGGTGTTCG